ATTACTTCAGGAGAAATCGTTCTTAAACACATGCAGACTGCCATGCAGTTCCCGCAGCGAAGCCGTCGCAGCAAAACTGCCATGCGGGCCATGCAACTGGCGCCGACGCCCGGTGGTCGAGGACGTCGGCGAGTGCCTGCGGGGGTCGGGCGGGTTAGGGCGGTGGTGATGGTGATGATGTTGAGGATGATAATGATGGTGATGATGATGGTATGACAGCTGATAATGATGACGACCCACAACTACCATCAGCAGCGCACCGTAGAGAAACCTTATTCTTAGTTCAGGTCAAGTCAGGACTTGTGCGTGTGACCCTGATGGCCAGGCCGAGCCCCGAGCAGCGAGCCGCAGAGTGCAGCTGCGTCCCAGGAGCAGCGACTGGTGACTCGGACCTGCGAGTCACCCCCCCCTCCTAGACCCTCAGCCCACATTCAGGCTCTTTGCAGACTCCTTGCAAAATACAGGTCGGGTCCTTCAACCTTTCCTCACGGACGAGGCTGTCCAAGGTATTCTGAAATGTATTTCGCTGAATTCTGAGATCCATTCCACAGCATATTGAGATGCACTTCGGCCATTCTGACATCTTCACAATTTTAGTTTTTCTCTTTTGCCTCATTTCCTGGCGAGCAGGACGAGGACAATGAAGAAAACATGGTATGAGGTTTATGGAAAAGAAGCTTCCACGCCCGCGCGGCCAACGTCCCTCCCAGTGCCAGTGCAGACCCGCCGGCGGAGTAGCGCGAGGAATTCCATAACCTGACATTTATTTTCGGAAATATCTTTCGGCCGCTGCCCCGCCGGCGACGCCCTTCCCCGCCGAGGGTCGCGGCGGGTCTGAAGGCGGTTCCTGGCTCTCCGAGGAGCAAGGCGCGGGAGTAGCAGCCCCGGAGGCCTGGACGGAAATGCAATTGCCTGAGTAAATAAACCTTCACTTGAATTCAATTTTCCCTTTCCTCCCTCCATCTCGCTCTTCTCTACCCCCCTTTCTCTCCCTCTCTCCCCCCCATCCTCTCTCTCTCTCAAACTTTCCCCTTTCTCTGCCTTACAAGTCCGCCCTCGAGCAAATCCAAAAGCAAAGCAACATCAGCCCCTCTGAACAAGCAAGCAAACGCGGTCGCGAAAACAAACAAATTTCGGCCCCGAGTTCCGCTGCGCGGCGGCGGCAAAGGACGGAAGCAATGAGAAGAAAAGCTGATTAACTGACAGCAAGCGCGCGCGAAGGCCAAACGCACCTCCTATCTGGTCCGAGAAATAAAGGTTCACAATAAAACTCCAGGTCAGCCCAGAGCGAGGTCAAGCCAGAGGGGGGGGGGGGGGGGCTGGTTCACTCGGGCGCCGTGGAAAGCAATTAATTCAGCGCGCACAACCGCCCGCCCACAGGCTTTTTCTGCCTCACACGCCCGTGCTGCGGCTGCACTCCTCCTCCTTCTCCTCCTCCCCTCTTCTCCTTCTTCCTCTTTCTCGTCTCTTCCTTTCGCTAACCTCCGTCCTTCTCTCTTCCCTCTCCCTTCCCCCTCCTCCTCCTTCCCATTCCCCTTCCTCTTCCTCCTTCCCTTTTCCTTCTTCATTCCCCATCCTCACCTCCTCCTCCCCCGCCCCCTTTCTCCTCCCCCGCCCTTTTCTCCTCCTCCCCTCCCCTTCCTCCTCCTTCTTCTCCTCCCCCCTCCCCCACCTTCCTCCATCCTCCTCCTCCCCCTCCCCCACCCCCTTCCTCCTCCTCCTCCCCCCCTCCTCCACCCCCTTCCTCCTTCTCCTCCTCCCCCACCCCTTCCTCCTCCTCCTCCTCCCCACCCCTTTCCTCCTCTTCCTCCTCCTCCTCCTCCTCCCCCCCTCCCCCACCCCCTCCCCACCCCCCTCTCCTCCTCCTCCCCCCCTCCCCCACCCCCTTCCTCCTCCTCCTCCCCTCCTCCTCCCCCACCCCCTTCCTCCTCCTCCTCCTCCTCCCCTCCTCCTCCTCCTCCCCTTCCTCCTCCTCCTCCTCCCTTTCTCCTCCTCCTCCTCCTCCCTCCTCCCTTCCTCCCCCACCCCTTCCTCATCCTCCTCCCCAACCCCCTTCCTCCTCCTCCTCCCCTTCCTCCTCCTCCTCCCCCACCCCCTTCCTCCTCCTCCTCTCCCCCCACCCCCTTCCTCCCCCCACCCCCTTCCTCTCCTCCTCCTCCCCCCACCCCCTTCCTCCTCCCCTTCCTCCTCCTCCTCCTCCCCTTCTTCCTCCTCCTCCTCCTCCCCTTCCTCCTCCTCCTCCTCCTCCCCTTCCTCCTCCTCCTCCTCCCTTCCTCCCCTCCTCCCTTCCTCCTCCTCCTCCTCCTCCTCCCTTCTCCTCCTCCTCCTCCTCCCCTTCCTCCTCCTCTCCTCCCTTCCTCCTCCTAAGGCCGCCGATGCACACAAGTGTCTCGATGAGAACTCAAGTGCGATAAAAAGTGATGGGTATTTCTGCATACACAATACGGCAATTAATCATCATTATATAAGAAATGATAGTATGTAATAATTAGAGACTTCAGCAAAAGGATATGAAAAGAAAATGAATAAACAAGAACTAGGAAAAATAAGAAAGAGGCGAGAGAAAGCGACTGATAAAGAAGCAAAGGAGGCAATTCCCGTGGCTGCGGCCGACGCCTGGACGCGCGGCCTCTCCCTAGGCCTGCCTGCCTGCCTGCCTCTCCCTCTAGGCCTGCCTGCCTCTGCCTGCCTCTCCCTCTAGGCCTGCCTGCCTCTGCCTGCCTGCCTCTCCCTCTAGGCCTGCCTGCCTCTGCCTGCCTGCCTCTCCCTCTAGGCCTGCCTGCCTGCCTGCCTCTCCCTCTAGGCCTGCCTGCCTGCCTGCCTCTCCCTCTAGGCCTGCCTGCCTACCTGCCTCTCCCTCTAGGCCTGCCTGCCTGCCTCTCCCTCTAGGCCTGCCTGCCTGCCTGCCTCTCCCTCTAGGCCTGCCTGCCTCTCCCTCTAGGCCTGCCTGCCTCTGCCTGCCTGCCTCTCCTCTAGGCCTGCCTGCCTCTGCCTGCCTGCCTCTCCCTCTAGGCCTGCCTGCCTGCCTGCCTCTCCCTCTAGGCCTGCCTGCCTCTGCCTGCCTCTCCTCTAGGCCTGCCTGCCTCTGCCTGCCTGCCTCTCTCTAGGCCTGCCTGCCTCTGCCTGCCTGCCTCTCCCTCTAGGCCTGCCTGCCTGCCTGCCTCTCCCTCTAGGCCTGCCTGCCTCTCCCTCTAGGCCTGCCTGCCTGCCTGCCTCTCCCTCTAGGCCTGCCTGCCTGCCTGCCTCTCCTCTAGGCCTGCCTGCCTACCTGCCTCTCCCTCTAGGCCTGCCTGCCTGCCTCTCCCTCTAGGCCTGGCCCTGCCTGCCTGCCTCTCCCTCTAGGCCTGCCTGCCTCTCCTCTAGGCCTGCCTGCCTGCCTGCCTCTCCCTCTAGGCCTGCCTGCCTCTGCCTGCCTGCTCTCCCTCTAGGCCTGCCTGCCTCTGCCTGCCTGCCTCTGCCTGCCTGCCTCTCCCTCTAGGCCTGCCTGCCTCTGCCTGCTGCCTCCCTCTAGGCCTGCCTGCCTCTGCCTGCCTGCCTCTCCCTCTAGGCCTGCCTGCCTCTGCCTGCCTGCCTCTCCCTCTAGGCCTGCCTGCCTCTGCCTGCCTGCCTCTCCCTCTAGGCCTGCCTGCCTCTTCCTCTAGGCCTGCCTGCCTGCCTCTCCTCTAGGCCTGCCTGCCTCTGCCTGCCTGCCTCTCCCTCTAGGCCTGCCTGCCTCTGCCTGCCTGCCTCTGCCTGCCTGCCTCTCCTCTAGGCCTGCCTGCCTCTGCCTGCCTGCCTCTCCCTCTAGGCCTGCCTGCCCTCTGCCTGCTGCCTCTCCCTCTAGGCCTGCCTGCCTGCCTCTCCCTCTAGGCCTGCCTGCCTCTGCCTGTCTGCCTCTCCCTCTAGGCCTGCCTGCCTCTGCCTGCCTGCCTCTCCCTCTAGGCCTGCCTGCCTCTTCCTCTAGGCCTGCCTGCCTGCCTCTCCCTCTAGGCCTGCCTGCCTCTGCCTGCCTGCCACTCCCTCTAGGCCTGCCTGCCTCTGCCTGCCTGCCACTCCCTCTAGGACTGCCTGCCTCTGCCTGCCTGCCACTCCCTCTAGGCCTGCCTGCCTGCCTCTCCCTCTAGGCCTGCCCTGCCTGCCTGCCACTCCCTCTAGGCCTGCCTGCCTCTCCCTCTAGGCCCTGCCTCTGCCTGCCTGCCTCTCCCTCTAGGCCTGCCTGCTCTGCCTGCCTGCCACTCCCTCTAGGCCTGCCTGCCTGCCTCTCCCTCTAGGCCTGCCTGCCTGCCTCTCCCTCTAGGCCTGCCTGCCTCTGCCTGCCTGCCTCTCCCTCTAGGCCTGCCTGCCTCTCCCTCTAGGCCTGCCTGCCTCTGCCTGCCTGCCTCTCCCTCTAGCCTGCCTGCCTCTCTCCTCTAGGCCTGCCTGCCTGCCACTCCCTCTAGGCCTGCCTACCTCTCCCTCTAGGCTGCCTGCCTGCCTGCCTGCCTCTGCCTGCCTGCCTGCCACTCCCTCTAGGCCTGCCTGCCTCTCCCTCTAGGCCTGCCTGCCTCTGCCTGCCTGCCTCTCCCTCTAGGCCTGCCTGCCTCTCCCTCTAGGCCTGCCTGCCTGCCACTCCTCTAGGCCTGCCTACCTCTCCCTCTAGGCCTGCCTGCCTGCCTGCCTGCCTCTGCCTGCCTGCCTGCCACTCCTCTAGGCCTGCCTGCCTCTCCCTCTAGGCCTGCCTGCCTGCCTCTCCCTCTAGGCCCTGCCTGCTGCCACTCCCTCTAGGCCTGCCTGCCTCTGCCTGCCTGCCTCTCCCTCTAGCCTGCCTGCCTGCCACTCCCTCTAGGCCTGCCTGCTCTGCCTGCCTGCCTCTCCCTCTAGGCCTGCCTGCCTCTGCCTGCCTGCCTCTCCCTCTAGGCCTGCCTGCCTGCCTCTCCCTCTAGGCCTGCCTGCCTCTGCCTGCCTGCTACTCCCTCTAGGCCTGCCTGCCTGCCTTCCTCTGCCTGCCTGCCACTCCCTCTAGGCCTGCCTGCCTCTGCCTG